GTGGTGTCATAATATTTGAAAAGTAAAAATGATGCTGTGTGCAAATGACGTCATGATGTAATTGACATCATCACTATGAAAATCATCTTCATCACACATATCATCGGCGTCATCATCATCACAAACTCAAGTCAATTTCATAAATAAAATGGTCTGTGTTTCTTTTTCATATGAAATACAAAATACTGCAATCCTTCAGTTATAAATAAAGTCATTTTAAAGTAGGATGATATTGGATTTCACTTATGTGAATCTTGTTTTAAAAATACTGATAACAGACTTGTATTCACAAAAAACAATCTCTCGAAGAAAAATCAAAATTGAGGGTGATTATAGATGGCTCGTTGAAATTACCCAATAATTGCATCTCATGTTTTACCGGCAAATTACAGTACGCCTACAAGTTTTTTTACATAAACCTTTTACAACCGCTTAAATCTTCTAATAGACAGCACTAAAATACTGTCAATACCAGAATTCACATTAGTGTAAAATGTTGTCAAGTCATGAAAACAAACAGAGATGAAAATATTGATGAATTAATAGAAATATATTTATCCATTAATAATAGAGTCATTTAGAAAATACAACAACAAAACATAGACGTGATAGCAACCTTATACATCAAATGGGTTTGGCACCAAAAAAACTTAATGATCCAGAACTGATGAAAATAATTTGATATATCCTGACTAAAAAATCAATATTTCTCATAAATTATACCTTTGATATAGTTGTTTTCATCTGGTATAACCTATTCTACATCCAGACCCATCCTAGAGACTTTATCTCCATCTTACTAAATATAACCTTTTTATAAATTAGTCTGAAAATATTATTTATTACTTCATATACAGGTAGTTGATTAGCCTTTCAAAATCCACTTAAAATTTAATGCTTAAAAATCAGCCTATGCACACTCAACTGCTGATAGTTTTCAACTTGCATTTTACTGGTCAGAAAGAAATAAACGTGAAGTGTATTATTACTGTTAAAATAGTGCTCAAAGAATCTTGAAATTAGACAAAAAATCAGCAGAGTGAGTAATATTTCTTTAATTGCAAATTTTTTTTCAATAGACCAACAAAATATGTTGCATATTGTATATCTCTACTTTTTATAATATTCTAAATACAACCCTGCAAACAAATTTATCCTTATATAACATATATATCTGACATTAAAGTAGAATATTTAATACTTGAATTACATGTATTTGGAACTTAATTTCACACATGGGAGCTTCTGGACAAATTACAACAGACACACTGTACAAGATTTGAACACCAGACACATTTCTTCAATTGTATAATGAGTACGCTTATCTGTGAAGCACTTCTGGAGGAAGTTGAAATTAGTCCTTGTAGTCACTGGGATATAATCAACAATAGCACAAATTAACTAACAAAATTACTGGTGAAAGAGTGAAGGCTTTCAGTACCGTTTAAATGCTCAGAACAGTTACTGATTACATCAATTTACATTAATTTAGTTCTGACAACCATTCCGAGACAACTTCCTTAAGGTGGGCCAGAAATGGAACAAATCAAAAATTCACAATACCCAAAAATTTCAAGCAGAGATGTTTGTTCATTAATGACCTGTGACTCTACTGAATTCACTAACATGATCCAGGACAGCAAAATCTTACATAATATATAATTTCATGTAAACTTTCAAAACTAAATACTGTAATTCATAAACTTTTATTGCCATGACATGACAAGCTGATGGTATTTCATAATGCTGGATTAATGTCCGGATTGTCAGGATAAATCCTATCTATGAGAAGAGATTAGCTATGACAGGATGTTATCCTTCATAAATTGATACAGAAAAACACTCTTTCTTGATAAAAACTCTCAGAAAAAAGGCCAAATAGACTGTCAATGAATTTCCTAAAAGCAATAATGGATTTATGGATTTTTTAATTTATTTTCTTTCAATAATGGTAATGACTTTTAATGCTTGATGTGGCATTCTATCACTGACTCAACTTCAAGTCAACTCTTTTAATGCTACTATCACAACTATTATAACATGCAATAGCAACCTATGGATGTGTAGTTAAACTGGTCTATTTTCATCCCTATCTTTAAATCCTGTGTAACACCCTTTTTGTTTTGTGTAAAAGCAAAAACAGTAAGTATTTAATATAGTCAGATATATATTGATGAAAGTTTAATACTGATATACAGTAAATACTGTTATACTTTAAAATTTCAAGATTAATGTATGTGAATGTGACATACTGTACTGACTATGTGTAGAAATAGTGACTGTTCATCATGATTATAATCAAAAGAATAGGAAAGTAATTTCATAAAAATTCATCTTAATGACAGTTGCATAAACCTTCTAATAAATTCTAACATAATGGATGTGGAACATAACTTTCTCAACTTTTTTGGAAAGGATGTACTTATCAATCACACTGTCAGCCTACAGCTTATTAAAAGTTAATCATCAAGACTCTTTCTAACAAATAGTCTGTATCATTACATTAAGAACAATTTCTATACATGCTTAAGATACAAGCTGAATAGTTGTGCAAGTTAGCAAGTCTCTGTGGAGCCACAGATGTCATCATTACTAGCGATGGACTCCCATGATTACATTATAACATCATGTGGCACTAGTTGCTTTTATAGAATTTATTAAAAAGTGAATTATAAAAACCTTTATTTTGGCAATCTAGGTCAAAATTTTTAGATATAACACCAGTTCAGAAGACACTCTAATAAATTATAGAACTATACATGAAAGATGTAGAAAATGTGGGGAATTCTTGCTAACTAGACAATAATGATATTAACAGCTATAAACAATAATATAATTACTTAATAACCATTTAGTTCCAACACATTCTTCAGTAATAAAATTATAAATAGATGCACCCTAGTATTACTATTTGTCAACATTTAAAACAGTTACAAAATATCTAAAGTGGCCATTTTATTATTTTAGATTCAATATTCTCCTAACTAGCTGACTAAACTACCTGAAATCCTGATTAGAAAATAAAACAACATCAACAAACATGTTCCAAATACTAAACATAGCCTATTTTACATTAGGATGCTATAACAAACTTTACATTAAGATAGAATGTGCCCATTTACATAACAGTAAATTCAAGTGGTCTGAGTATGGTTCTTCAATTGTAGTTTAAATGGAAACTATTCTCAGCATGCTTGTCTGTGGAATTATAAAGAAGTTGAATTTAGTCCTTGTAAACTACAATTACACTGAGTAGGGGTGTATATTGTAACTAAAACTCGTATTGCAATATATTACGATACACCTTCGTGTATTGCAACATGTATTGCGATATATTGTGAAATGTCATTGAGTTGATATTTTCAAATTTGTGAGCAACTTAGGTTTGATATGCATTCCATCCTATTTAAACTTAATTAAAAACAAAGTATGTGAGAAATAATCTTTACTTAACATTAAATCATAAAATATCAAAATAAATATTATTATACAAATTTCTTTGTTGATCTGTTCTGTTAAGACAAAACCATAAAGAAAAATATAAATTCACCATGGATTGCCCCATATTCAGTTTTATTAAACTAGTTTTTCCACATTGTCGTTTTTCTTTTTTAATTACAAACTAAAATTTTAGAAGCGGTCGAACTTGTTTACGATAGTTTTTGATTGTGGTAAATGTAATCAAAACTAAAACTAACGTCATATTCAATTATTTAAGCATAGGTTTAATATAAAAACGATAGTTATGCGTAAAATATTATTCTAAGCAAAAATAACATTAATTTTCAACCATAATCAGGAACTGGCATATGAAAAGTGAAAGTAGATTAAAAATTTCATCGATATTGATACACACAGATCGTTATCGATATATTGATTATTTCCAACAGCACTAACACTGAGTAATGAACTGTCAGGCATGTTCAGTAAATTTGTCTGAGAACGTTTATCGTCTACATTACACTAAATTATCAAGTCCATTCTGGGAACTGTTTGGAGACCACCTCCTCGAGGTTTGAATTTAGAATAGTTCTCAGAATGCTTGCCCATTCACATTGCACAAAATTCATCTGTTCAGTTCTGACAACTGTTCTGAGAAGAAGATGAAGACTGACTTTTTAATGACAATATTTATGGCTTCCTGGTTTTTTCTGGCAAGGATGGTAATATAAGAATTTAATACATGAATTATCTTGTGATATTTTTGACAAACAATTCCTTTAAGCCTAAAATAACTGGTTTCAACAGCCAATTGTTTTGTCCAATTCCTTGACCTGTAAAGCTAATTTGAAATCAGTGAATCTCAAGGCTAAATATGTAGATATGATGTATTAAACCCTGATTAATATATCAGTAACACCAGGATTCCATATATGTCAAGTTAATAGAACCTAAGGTAATGCTCTTAGCTACTTGTCAAATGGACATAATTCGCTAATACTGATAATGAATCATAAGATATACGAAACCTTACAATTGGCTGCTAAATATATTCAATATTTTTCCTTTGACAGTCTGAAGGAAAACCAGCATATCAAATAAAACCTGATTTTATGAAGTATATATTATAAATATATATTTCTATAAAATCAACAACTTGTACAATATTATCAAAATTGAGCACAAATCAATTTTTTTGTCCAGTTTTCCATAAATACTGTACATGTGCAGACATTAATAGACATCGTAGATTTCAGGTCAGTTATTAATCAACCTATAGTATAGTCGAAGAAAGATATTTCTTCTCATCCAGGTCCCATTCAAAACAAAAACACGAGCAGAGCACTTCATATTTATGTAGTTTAAGTGGTAATTAACATAATGAAAGGCAAGATGTATCTTTTCTATTACAAACAATTTTACCCAAAAATAAAGTGGACTGATTGTGTTTATGTTTTGAATAGAGACAGGATGAATAAAAATATCTTTGCTTGACTTTAACAATCTAGTTGCAAGTATATGAAAATTTGATAATTTTACAACACTTACCCTTAAAATAGTCACAGAAGAGTCTCTGACTCATCTCTGGAGCCCAAATCAGTACTCACACTTCTCTGTAGTGACGAATTCTGAGGCGAGTCTAATTCATCATCATAAAAATCAGTTTGAGCTACACCATGTCGTTTAACTATATATGGACTGGGGAAGCGTTCGGATTTGGACACAATAGATGTATTTTCATCCTCATCTATAAAAGTACTTTCAGGACAATTTCCATGAGAGGTCATTTCAGCCAGTTCTTTGGCACTACATGAAGGGGTATCAATTGGAATGGTGTTATGGAAACGTGAAAAATCTATTTGGTATTGGCCATCTTCTTTTTGAAAAGTAACTAAACGTTCGAATCGATGTCCCCACAAAACCTCGCCTGGCAGGTAAGAACTTCTAGCTTGTGTTGTCATACCGGTTGATTCCACAATACCCTCTAGTATGACAATAAGTTCAAATTGTTCTCGATGTAAATCTTCAGGGGATAATTCCCAAAATGGACTGTTTTCGGTTATTTTATGGACAATTATCACAGGCCAAACTAAAAATAAACGATCACGACCTTCATCGAAACCTAAATCAACATCAAATTGATACAGTGGTAACACTTCACCTTCTTTAGTTATTTTCTTTTTTATTAATACTGCTCTAATATGTGCTTCAACAATCTGAGACTTTCTCATATCTCCTACCCTAAATAATAAACACATATCACCATCCTGTCTACATATACATGCATTTTTACTAAACATCAGAGTTTCAGCTCGTTTTTTAGGCCTTGATAATTTCGCAAACACAATACCAGTCATTAAGGCTTGACATATGACACCAAAACATGACTGAAACATCATTAGAACAATGGCTTCAGGACATTCTTCTGTTGTATGACGAGAACCATATCCTATTGTATGTTGTGTTTCTATAGAGAATAATAAAGCAGAAGTAAAAGAATATATTTCTTTAACACAAGGCTTCCATTCTGTATCTTCAGAATGTTCTAAATCACCATGTGAAAAGCACACTAACCACCAAATTAATCCAAATATTAACCAACTTAATGTAAAAGCTAAGGCAAATAACATTAGATTATATCTCCATTTAATATCAACTAAAGTAGTAAAAATATCGGCTAAATATCTTCGTCTGCGTTTTCGTATATTAGTTTGTGTAATATTTACATCACCATTTTTATACACTAATCTTCGCCTCATTCGTTTTGAATGATGACGATCAGCTCTGCGATTTAACTGAGCATTATTTGTATTAGTTTGTCTTATATTCCTTGAGGCATATTCCATAAAAGAATCCTGTGAACAGCGTCTATTTTCATGTTTTCCATTTTCCAATAAATCCGGATCTGGCAAAACAGCCGCTGGACCATTCATTCCATTGCCATAGCTGGCATCCATGATAACGGTCTGCATTTTGTCCCACAATCACACCATCATTTTACAGTAGTAGAGTATTCACTGTGTTTGTAGGATGTCTATATCAACAAACATCATTCATACTTCTTTCTAAAATATATAATAATATCAATATTTAAATAGATGATAAATTATAATATATATAATTAATGTATATAAATTTATACCAATACCAATAACTAAACTGATGATGAATTACAAATTCATTTTTACTTTACAAAACTAAGATGTCATGACACCTGCAACTCCTTCCATAAATAGACAATAAATCAGGTAGACAAGGAGAAATATGTTAATAGATTTGTAACACATAAAGGGTTAGATTATATCAAACTTTCTAGTAAGGTTCCATTACCAGCTGTTACAGTGAATGAATTAATAAATGAATTGCATCACTATTATTAATAATTTTTTCCATTTCCAAGATTGAGATAAAGCTATATATACAACCACAGGTATTCTTTAATAACAGCTAGCCAAACATAATTCAATTCTTTAAAATACAGTAAAAAGACTTCAGAGTAAAAGATGTTTAATGAACTAAAACAATGGTGGAACACAAATGCAATGACAAATTTCTTTATAGATATAATGTTAATGGCTTAAAATATTTTAACAAATTTTCTACAAAAAAGTGCCATCGAGTTCCCATATACATAAAAACCATCTGCATATAAATCTGGAAAATCTGGAAAAATGTAATTCCTAAAAATCCTTTGCTGAAACAAGCCAATTTACACAAAGGACAAATGAAATAGGGATAATTTTTGTTGATTCACAAAGCATCAACAATCAAAAAACTGTAAAAACATGAAAACCTTAGTAAGCTTAAATGTACAAATTATTATCCCTGATACAACCTTGAATAGTATGGTAACTTAGTTTTTTATAACTTAAAATGATAACAGTTTTACAGTACCCAAATAAAATTCTACAAGTACCACTTGATGTTGTCAGTACAATTCAACAATTTAATAGTGTAGTTAGTGTTTTGAGAAAGATATAATAAGAACACTAAACCTGAATTATATCAACTTATACAAATATCAGACAGACAGATTTTGATAATCTTTACATGTATGGTTATTTAATAATGGATTATCTAATAATATTATCATGATATTGTATAATACTGGGGTACAAAGATCTTATGTAAAGCCTTTCTTCATGCATTTGACACCTTTAGTCTTTAATTTTGAGGTTTCAAAGACACACAAAGCCTAAACTTGAGTAGAAACAAAATTACCCTTTACTGTTTTCTTTTTTTTTAAGACAAACACAGTTGTTACACATGCACATGACCTGACGAGTCTGTGTTACCTTGATACTCATAACATTAGTTTAACAGTCCAACAACTACCAACTGTTACAATTCACCAGTAACATTGAATCCCCTTTTCTGAATTGCAGGTTGGTCTTTCTTAATTATCCTTGTATTTTACCATGACCTTAAATCAATGACATGCCAAAAATATCTTAAATATAAGGTCAATAACATGTGTGGCCATAGTGCTGGAACAAGTATGGGCAAAAGTTGACAATTGTCCAAATAACACCTCCTTTTAAGGTTAAAGTCCTCTAAATCATATTATGATGTATAATCATTCTTTGGGGAAGCTTAAAGGAATAACTTCACTATCTGTTCAAACAATCATACCTTAGTTTCATAAACAAGAATTTTTAAGCTTACATGATCAGTATAAGAGTTCATAGCTCTACGTCGAAATTTGAGCGTTCAAATCCATGTGTATTCACGTTTGAAAGTTAAAAATTTGACTCGAATTTTAGTGAGACTATGCCATACATAGAAAACAAATATATAGGAATAGACAGTGAAATTTCTAATTTGAGGTATATCTGAAGGGATTACGCAATTTCCGTGTGTTTTAGTACTTCTTACGACTCTTAAAAGCACCTACAAGACCTAAATCAATCCCCGAAAATGCCAACTGTTCCCCTTGAAACATAATGACAGAAATCATTTTGTATGAGTGGCTTAGAAAGGTGCGTGACACTGTATAGCTAAAACTATTCCATATAGAATAAAATCTTTTATTTGAATGCATTATTTATATAACCATACAGTAGCATCAGATGTTGCAACAGTAACAGACTCCTAAACATATCACATTTGCTGTGTTGGTTCCTTCTTAAGAAGCCTATTCAACCTGATGTTGATATGAGAGTTTTGTCCATGTATTGTAAAATGTGAAGATCACAATAGATTACTTGTACTCTGTGACCTAAAACCATGTAAAAGCCTGATCTCAAACATAGAACTATGTTACTAACATAAACTTTTAACATCCTTAAATTCAATATTTAATATTCAATCTTTGATGTTTTCATTTCAGTGGGTCATCTGTTAAATATACATAACTAAGAGAGAATTATCCAGAATTATAGAATGATATGAAAAATTTGGCTCCATCTTGCTAACTAAATTCAATATGGTTCAAGGAAGGAACACAATAATTTTCTTTTTAAGTACAATAATTATGAAGCTAGTTCTAATTATCAATAATTAGTTGTCATTATTGAAATATCTGAAATATGGATCAAGATAAGCTTTATGTAACTTTTCATAAAAATTCCCTATATTTTTCAACCTAAACCATTATATTAAATAATCAATTCTTTCTTATGCTTGCAAAAAACTTGTCAATTTTAGTTGATGCATATCTAGCAAAAGTAATTTTGATACAAAACATAACAAAACACTTGGAGAGATGATTAGAAGAATGCAATGGCATTGTGCAAACTTGATGTTTTTTAAATGCATTGACAAACAACAGCTAAAGCCACTTCATACAGTGTACTACCTTTGAGTTGGCCTGGCAATCTAAATTCATTCCCCACATAAAACATTAGTTTGCATCAAATACACTGTTAAACTATGCACCTGATAAACCACTAAGAGTTTGAAGATAGCATGAACCTTATTATTTGTCATTACCTTGAGTCAGACATAACGATTGCCAAGATCACAGCAGCAACCCAACCATTCCTAAACCTTTAATTAACCTATTAACCTATTAGTAAGTATAGGTAGAAAGTTCAGCATCAAATAAACCTGTTCTCATCACAACCTGTAATAATACATGAAACCACCTGCTTTAACTCATTTCACATCCGTCTTCTCTACACTGAACTACTACATTAATAAACAAAGCACAATACTGCTTATATATACTATCAATACTTCAATGCTATTTCAAAAATACTAACCATCTAGGAATATACATTAGCTGAAGTAGAGTTCGAATTCTCAAACTCGTCTTATGTTGATTGTCCAATAGATGCAGAAAAATAGGACAAAATACTAATATAAATAACATTTTTAGTCATTTCATTTCAATTATTGCCTGTAGCCAGTTCAGTCAAACCAGGAAGTTTTATTATTAAATAGCAGGTAGTGTCAATGTTCTATCAGTGCTTGATAAAGATAAGATTATCTTAAATATGACAAATCTTTTTCATGAAATTGTGTTAGTTAGTTTGGTATATGAAATGAAGTTCTGTTAAAATGATATATAGAATGGTCCTTTACTGACACAAACCTTTCTTCTAATTCAATAAGAAATTTTGGAATATCTCTTGTTTTATTTAACAGATTTGTTATACCTCCTTCCTTAAAGATAAACACTTTTTTATACGCCCACATGAATGTGGTCGTATATTGTCGTCGCCCCTGTCCATCGGTCCGTCCGTCAACATTTCTTGTGAGCACTATAGAGACTACAGTTTTTATCTGATTTTGATAAAACTTGGTGTGATGCTTTAGATTGATAAGATCTCGGTCAAGTTCGAATTTGACATAGTTTTTGAGATATTGCCCTTGACTTAGAACGCCTTGAAATTTGTTAAAAATAGTTCGTGCGCAGGATTGAAATGAAATGAAATGAATGGAGTTTTACGTCCTACTTTTCTGTGCGCAGGATTGAAGCTACAGTTTTCATCCGATTCTGATGAAACTTGGTGTGATCATTGGAATTCATAAGATCTCGGTCAAGTTCTAACTTGACGCATTTTCGATGAACGGTTTTTGAGTAATTGCCCTTGACTTAGTTAAAACGAGTTGAAATTTGCTCAAAATAGTTCGTGAGCAGGATTGAAGCTACAGTTTTCAACCGGTTCTGATGAAACTTGGTGTGATCATTGGAATTGATAAGATCTCGGACAAATTCTAACTTGATGCATTTTCGATGAACGGTTTTTGATTTATTGCCCTTGACTTTGTTAAAACACGTCGAAAATTTGTTAAAAATAGTTCGTGAGCAGGATTGAAGCTGCAGTTTTCAACTGATTCTGATGAAACTTGGTGGGATCATTGGAATTGATAAGATCTCGGACAAGTTCTAACTTGGCGCATTTTTGATGAACGGTTTTTGAGTTATTGCCCTTGACTTTGTTAAAACGTGTTGAAATTTGTTAAAAATAGTTTGTGAGCAGGATTGACACTACAGTTTTCAACCGATTTTGATGAAACTTGATGTGATCATTGGAATTGATAAGATCTGACAAGTTCTAACAAGTGATATTTTTGATGAACATTTTTTGAGTTATTGCCCTTGACTTAGTAAACACGCATCAAAAGTTGTTTTTTGCCCTTGATTAGAGCTGTGTGATTTAATTGTTTGTTGTATTTGGGTTATTGATATTGATTTTAAAAATTTTTTTGTGGAATTATTCAGCATAAATAATTTCTTCAATATGAGAAAATTTGTACTTTAGTCACTAAAGACTGTTTTATTATTTCTGACAGCGGCCGGTGGGCGTATGTTATCTTGCAACGCAAGCTATCTTTTCAATTCTTGTAAAATTTAGTGCTGTTATGAAATATTTGTAACATGGATTTTAAAAACCTTTCT